AAAGTGTGCCTCATCAAGTTGATCTCCTCCATGTGATATGGCGCAACATTTTGAAATACCTGTAAATAAAAAAAATGTAGTCAACTTAATCAAAAATGTAAAAAGAATTGAAAAATTACATGCAATGTAACTTATCTACTTTACCTCATCTAATTTCTCAGTCACCCATGTCTCAATAATATCATTCATGTAGCGAATGACTAATATCCCCACTCAACACTCCCTTGTTGACAATGATACTAACAAAATGAAATATAAAATTGAATATTAGACTTTGATTAGAAACATTAACTTTAATTATTGAAAAAGATTTAAAAGTATATATTTAGCTCAAAACAATATACTTTTGGGAGAATCCATGTTAGTGGTTGTCTATTTTGCTTCTTCACCATAATATTGAAACTATGAAAAGCCCTATTAACAATAAAATTTAATAATGTTAGAGCATATTTTTATAAACTTCACACGTAATAAACATAAACTAACGTGTCGATGACATCTCTAGTTTCTTCAGATGGACTTCCACAGAGGGAATCGAACCAGTAGACTTTGTTATCAAAAAGGGCACAAATAATTAGGGTCTAATGATAACTGCAAAATATGAATCCTGTTAATTATAATCCTATACATACAACTTGTGTATCTCAAATACAATAATATACATACCCTTCCATGTAAGGTGCAAAATATATTTGCTTTCTTATTTGAGTCATTGTGGTCATCATGTAGATCGACCTCACTTCTACAGTATTGACTATTTTCTGCACCCTTTGAGAACACATAAAGCCATATGTTCCTTCAAGTCCTCTTTGCCGACATATTTGAGCAAAGTGCCTGTTGTTCAAATAAGAAACATTAGGACATATATAAGTATAACATGAATAAAGAAAATGATATTGTAACTTACAAAATAGCCAGTTGCATGAAGACTATATCCAGCTCCTCAAAGTTGAGGAACCGAATGATGTCCCTCTTGTCAACTGCCTCCTCAGCTACATATCTCTCAACAATTGATGCCTCAAACCGATAAGGATTCTTAGAGTACCTTTTTAGGATTTTCATATATCTCTCAAACGGGTACATCCACCTTAAACACACATTTCTACAAAGTCTTATCTCTCACACAAGATGAGCTATCAAGTGGATCATAATGTCAAAAAATGATGGAGGAATGTGCATTTCAAATTGGGAGAGGATCACATAACCTTCATTTTCTAATTCATCTAACTCAACAAATCAATAACTTTGCTGCAAATGGCACTAAAAAAAAATACAAAGTCTTGTAATGGTACTTCTTACATCAGTTTTCATAATGCCTCGAATAGCAAGTGGAAGTAATTGTTGCATCAACACATGACAATCAAGAGACTTCATCCCTATTATCTTCAAATCTTACATTGAAACAAGTTTGCTCAAATTAGAAGAATAACCTTGTGGTACCTTAATGCTATTAACAAAACCATAGAAACTTCTTTTCTCTTCTTTTGACAATGTATGCGTAGCTAGATGTAAATAAGCCCTCTTACCATCTCTTTTTTGTGGGTGGAGGAGTTTTTTTATTTCAATTTTAACTATGTCTCGTCTTGCATTAATTCCATCCTTAGTCTTTCCACTTATATGTAAAACTGTACCAACAAGGATTTCACACACATTCTTCTCCATGCATCACATCTAGACTATGCCTCACATCAAGAGTTTGCCAATAAGGAAGATCGAAAAAGATAGATTTTTTTTCATATATTCCTCTCACCTGCAGTCTTCTTTTTCTTTTTGCCAAAGACCATATTAATTCCCTTCACCTGTTGATAAACTTCTTCTCTAGCTAATGGTATTAGAGCCATTTGATATTCTTGTGAGCTGTTAAATGCCTTCTTCAACCTACAGTAAGGGTGGTGCTAACTAAGAAACCTTCTTTGACCAAGGTAGATCGTCTTCCTACCATGTTTAAATTGCATATAGTGGGTGCCTTCTTTGCATATCGGACATGCTTTATGCCCCTTAACACTGTATCCTAACACATTTCCATATGCTGGAAAGTCATTTATCGTGGTGAAAATCATGACATGTAAATTGAAGGTCTCTTGTTTGTATGCATCAAACACATCAATACTTTCCTCCCATAATTTCTTCAAATCCTCAATCAAAGGTGCCAAATACACATCGATATCGTTTCCTGGCTGTTTTGGCCCCGAGATCATCAAAGATAGCATGATATACTTTCATTTCATACACAACCAAGGAGGTAAGTTGTAAATTACAAGGAGCACTGGCCAAGCACTGTGTGTGCTACTAAGATTACCATATGGATTAATTTCATCCGTACAAAGCTCTAGTCAAAGGTTTCTTGGCTTGCTATCGAATTGAGGAAATTTTTGATCTATTGTTTTCCATTGAGAAGAATCTGCTGGGTGACGAAGCTTTACATCACATATTTTCTCATCGAAATGCCATCTCAAGTTCTTTGCTTCTGTGGCATTAGCAAATAGACGCTTAAATCATGGTATTATTGGAAGATACCACATAACCTTCAAAGGAGAATCTTTGGTCATCTCATTATAATTACCATAATCTTTCTTAACTTTGTATCTTGAAGCCCCATATTTATGGCACTTATTCAACCCTTCACACTCATTTCTAAATAATATACAGTCATTAGGACACGTATGTATCTTCTCATATTCCAAACCCATCGGACACAAAATTTTCTTTGCCTCATACATTCGTTTTAGAAGTGAATTCCTCTTTGGAAGAATATCACTCAGCAGTTCAAGTAATTCTGTGAAACTAGCACTGGTCCAACTATTTTTTGCCTTCAAGTTCATCAATTTCAACACGGTTGTCAACCTTGTATAATCATCTTTACACCCTGGGTATAAAGGCGTCTCTCATCACTACACAAAGTTTCAAAAGTGGGAGAGAACTGTGTAGGGGGTTCAAACCTTATGTCACAAAACATATTCGAAATTTTTTCACTAAAGTCTTTATTCACAACCTTCTCCTTTCCAGACAATATAGTCTTTCTAATTTCTCCATGCCATATCCAATTTGTATACCTTAAATTTATCCCATCACAAATAAGATACTCTTTTACCTCAAAAATACTCCTTCGACTATTGTTTAAGCATCTGACACAAGGACAATAGTACAATCCCTTTCTTTGACTAGGGGTATTTCTCCGAGCAAACTGAAGAAATTTTTCAACCCCATTCTCATATTCTTTGCTAATTCTCTTATTTTTTATCCAACTACGATCTATTGTTCTACAGAGTCAATGAATATAGTTGTCAAGCTTAATTCTAACTCCTTAATTCAAATATTGAAATAATAAAATAATTAAGTGTTAGTCAATAAATTAAAATTGACTAACACTTAATTACAAACTAAAAGGAATGTCTCTTTTTTAAAAATAAAAAATTTGACAGAATTTCCCTTTAAATATATAACAAAAGGAAAAATAGAGTGAAGGACCAAGAAAAAGTTATATTTATTAGATAGGATCTTAAAAATTGTAATTATTTAAAAGGACCATAAATATATTAAATATATTATAACAAACAAAATGAAATAAATAATTACTTTTAAAAATTAGATTAAGTTATTTCTTAAAAATTGGTATATATGGTGAATGAGCGAAAATATTGATAAAAATATAAAATCAAACAAACATATATAAATTTTGTAAAATATTTAAACAAAAATTATTTTATTCAAAATTAAATCTATTCTTCATAACATATTTCAACATGCATAAAGTTTTATAAAAATATTAAATTAATTTAATATAATTTTTTTTCAAACACTTGTTTCTAATTTAAAGTTATAGAAATAAATAAAAATAGATTTGTATATAAAATTTAGTTTTTTGTAAAAATAAATTAAAACACATATGTTCTTAAAGAAGTAAACTTGTGTAAAAATATTATTCCTTTTAGGTCCTCCATTCTAATTTTTTCCTATAACAAATCCCAAATTTATATAAAAAATAAACAAATCAATCAATCAACCAAACCAATTTAACAATGTAATAAACAAATTAAGCACAGGATAAATTTGAAGAAATATAACAATTAAAACAAAAATAAGAATTTAATTTCAAACCAATTTAATGAATAAAGATTCTTAAACCTAAAACTTCTAAATCCAAAATGGAAACACAAATGATATCTATTTGCAATGAAATTTTAAAACAACACTTTATGATCAATCAAAGTTCATAATGAAAAAAAAATTCACAAAACTATTAACAGATTATTTATTTTTACTAAATTATCAAATTTATTACAAAAAAATTACCAAAAATTCGAAATAAATATTAAAAAATTATAAAAAAATAAAAAAATTCAAAACTAATCAACTTCAAATATTTAAACATGTTTCTAATACCGTATATAGGAAGGAATTGAGGTTTTATCACACCAAATGCCACCAATCAACAACACAATCACATAAAAATCGCAAAATCAACAATGCAAGCAAACCACAATGTAAAATTAACAAACCCATTTGAAATACAACAAATTTTTATGGTCAAAACATCCAAGAAACCAAAAAAAATTGAAAAGATTGAAAGAAGAGGATACTCACATAGTACAACAATTCAAAGGCAAGAAGTTGGGCGTTCAAATAGTGGATGGATGGCGAAGAGACACCACAAGCTAAATGGAGGAGTTTAAACTGTAGGAAAGGTTAGGGAATAGCTAGTAATGGAAGTTCGTTGGTGGTGGGACAGTAGGGGACCATGGCGCACTGATATGAAATTGTGAAAATGAGTAAAAATGAACCCTATCCTCAGTTATTTTAAAACTTTTTACGGCGGTTATTAAGAAAACCACCGTGGAAAGTGTTTTTAACGGCGGTTTTCTTAATAAGCACCATGGAAAATCAACAGTCAGATGAATTATTTACAAAAATGTCACCTCTTTTTTTTCCACGTCGTTTTTCTTCTTAATCGCCGTTATTTAGTGACGTTAAATGTCTTTTTTCTAGTAGTGCTTGCAGTACTAACCAATCAGCCTCTCATTCTTTGCGGTGAATTCAACAATATCTTTTATGGAAACAAAGTTGTATGCCTCACTGAGAATTAGCAAATCTAATTCTTCAAAGTATGTAGTACTATGAAACTTAAGCCTCCAAGAATGTGCTGTAACTCTGTATTGATCTCCATTGTCAACAACCTTAAAGTTTTTAAAGTGGTATACTCCACCCTCTTTGGGTTCATTTTTGTAACGGTCAAACAGTCTTCTTTGTGTTACAGAACCTTCTATCCTATAACCCTGTACCAATTATGCAGGGTCAATTAATAGTAGTAAATCTTAGATAATTAAGCAATGCCAATTTCTAGCTCACTTGCTCATCTACAAGAAGCAAGTCAATCCTCCAGGGAGCGCATGGTGGAGTCTTCTTGTAGGCAATCCACTTTCGGAGAATACAAGCAACAAGATCTCTTGTATCTTTACTGTCGTTAATATCTTTAATGTGGTCCTGCGTAATGCTAGCCATATTATGATGATGATCTTCTCGTCATCCATTGAAGAAGGAAAGCACAACAATTGTCCTAATCACTATTGGTAAAATATAAACAAATCTAAAGCTGAAGTGGAGCTTGGGAAAATGAGATTATTACCTGATGCTGAATGTGAAGTTAACAAAACTGCACTGTCAAGTACGTCTTGTAGTTTTTAAATCGAGTAAGATAAATGTCAATAAGCATTAAATAAAAATAATTGCAAATTAATTATCAATTATTAATTAATTTATTAATATACTATTTACATAGCATAATAATTGAATTGAATTAAATTATTTCATACGTCCACACATCTTGTGCATTTAAGGAGGAAGCTACAATTATTCTACCCAGCTGTTACAATTAAGAAGGGCCTAAATTTTAAGAGTCATTAAACCAAAAGTTATACATCTATCTTGTGCATTCAAGGAGGAAGCTACAATTATTCTATGTAGCTGTTACAATTGAGAGGGGCCTAAATTTTAAGAGTCATTAAACCAAAAGTTAAATTATGAACGGGTGAAGTTGAATAGCAAATTTTAAGAGTGATACATTTGATTGATTTATGAATGGATGGAATTATAAATGGATGAAATTGAATAGCTACGATAATATGTTAATGATTGATTATTAACAATAATGGTGTGATCAAAAAATCTGAATCTGAAATACAAACCAAAATCCATAAAAGATCAAAATCAAAAAGATCAAATTAAGTTGATAGGATCAAAACCAAAAAGATTCAAAATCAAAATTGAAATCAATAATCACTTGTTTAACTCATAATTTTGTTTTCAAGGATTCAAAATCAAAATCGGGATCAATCATCGAGAGTTTAAGTATAATTTTCTTTTCCCCCTCAAAAATTCTAAAGATGACTGCACATCACATGAGAAGAAAAATGTTCAAGTGGATCAAATGATAATCCCAAAAACCATATTGAATGCATTGATTATTGGGTATTGGAATTAAGAGCCCAAAAACATGGCTGTGATTTGGGGATTATAGTTTCTGGATAATAGATTTAATTAATTTTTTTAACTGTAATGTTTTGCTAGTGTAGGAAAATAGGCCAGTCCATCCTTGGTGGATTGGACTCAAGCCCATTTACATTAGGACTCTGGTGCAAATAACAGAACATCTGGGTCGGGAATTGTGATTTTCTCTTTTTTGTTTAAATTGAATATTAGAGGAGCAGTTAACTTGAATGGGGTATATGGAGGTAGTTTTTCCTATTGAAAATCAATCAGGAAAAACTGCCGCACGATTCCCTTTCTTCCCTCACACAATTCGCCTTCCCCCCACAGTTCCTCTCCCTCCCGGTGTGCATTTGCTGTGAGACATCAGATCTAAGTTCACCAAAATAATTGGACCTTTGCGTGGCTATTTGAATTTGATCCACTCTCTAGGGATGCCTGAAACTCTACAATGGTATTAGAGTAATCTATTCCGTGGCCTAAGTTTTTTTTTTGTGCTCCTGCATTCATTTTTTTTTATGCCAAATAACAATTTTGAGATTTGCTTTGCCATATAATATGCAAATCCTCTATTTTACTTTCATTTTAATAGTTCTCTATGTCTCATATTAGAGATTAGACACACTGGGTTGATTCTCTGCCTCCATGAAAATCATTTCATATCATAATCGTTTTTGGCCGTTCCTTTTTCATCTTCAGGTCTACTTAAAATCAAGTTTTTAGGCCTTAAAACCTATCCCATTGTGTAGAGGACGAAAAAACCAAAGAAAATGATATAAAGTACGTGAAATTTGGATCTCACACGGAGGAGATATGGAGGAGAGAAGTTTTCAGGTCTGACAGGTCTGTTAGACTAGACCGGTTTGCAGAAGCCAGGTTAGGACAACCCGGATGGAGGTTGAAGACAACCTACAGGGCAAAAACAGTGTCGTTTTCGCCCTTCCAATAAAAAAGTTTAAGAAAAGGGTAGAAAGGACCAATTGGGCCAGAAGCCCACTTGGTTCGGATTGGACCGAGCCCAAACCTAGTTCAGTCCAACCAAAACACAAAAAAAAAGTGTTTTTTTTAAAGGGAGGGGGATAGGATTCGGTGGGGCCAGAGTCTGGACCAAGCTCATAAAAGAAAGGTCTAACTTAAAAAACAAATTGAACTAAAAAAAAAAAAGGAATACAGTAGAACTGTCACATGGCGCGTGGTGTCACATGGCATGCCCCTTTGACATGTGGACACCACCGCCTGAGAGGTGGTAGTGCGTGGAGGCCGCCGGTGGCGGACCGCAGGGCGGCACGTGGAGGTCATGCACTGATAGTGCGTTTGGGATTCAAATTTTTTTCCTAGTTTTTATTCTTCTGGGGGCGCGTGTTTGGTATATAATTTGAGAAAGGGAGGATGACATGAAGGCCAGATATCCATAATTATTCAATTAATGTATGTTTCTAAATTTCAAGGATGAAATTTATTTAACAGGGGGAGGAATTGTCATATCTCGAAAAATTTCACCTAGATATAGGGAATTAAAAATTGAGATGAGGGACATGTAAGAACTAGATAGGGAGATGAAATAACTTTTGATGTTAAACTCTGATAAGGTTTGGGCTGGCATTTTCATAATTATCGGTTTAGGAAGGGTAAAACGGGAAAATTTGAGAAAAATTATAGAAAATTCCTAAAAAATAGGAAAAGTATGAATTAGAGGTTTTGAAAACTCAATTTAGGCCAAAAAAGTGAAATTATTGTGAAAATAAATTATGACAGAATTTCCCGTGAACGGAGGTTTTTCGAGAAAATATTAGAAAATTAGAGGAAAATAATTATTTTTAATTGGTTAGAGGCCTCAATAAATTTGAGAAAAAGATGGATAAATCATCTGAATATTTATTTGAATTTATAAAATTAGTTTTAAGCCTTGGAAGCTCAAGAATTAGTTGTAGGAAATTTATTTTCCTACAGTGACACCGATAAAAGCCTAATCGGAAAAAATTCAAAATAAATACCTAGAGGTGGTAAAAAACTCTAAAAATTTTTAGATCATGTTCCTATATTAAAAGGTGAATTATCATAGAGAGAAATAAATTTTTGAAGGTTAAAAAAATTATGAAATGTCACTAGTGAATAATAACTGATAAAGTTTCATAGTGGCTTAAGATTTTATTTTGGATCGTGGGCTATCTTTTTGGACCAGCCCAATTCATTTGTGGGGCCTAAATTGAGCCCAATAAGAGCCCAATTTTATCTTCTTGTCCACTCCACATAATTAACTAAATAGAATGCAAAATTAAGGGATAATTTTTGGAAAAGTCTAGAATTTCCACTTGGATTAATCTAATTTATTTTACTCTAAATGGTTGCCACATACCCCTAAAAGGTGTCCCATTTTTTTCCAACAAGAGAGGGGGAGGGGCTGATTACAATTTTCTATAAATACCCCCTCCTAAAATAAAAAAAATTGTGGGAAAATTGAGAAAAATAGGGGTAGGTTCTGCTCAAGTGAAATTTGATCACTCTAATCGAAATTTGAGAGGAGTTTGGACAAGGAATCATTCAGTTTTTACTAGGGAACCATCAAGGTATGTTTAAGCCTCCTTATCCCTAAGTTCTACATTAATTTGTTTAGGGTTTTCAGTTGCAAAATCAAGGATATATGTTGCCAAATTTTTGGTTCATTCATGTGATGTTTAGGAAAGGACACAAACCTTAAATACCAAGCAGAATAAGCAAGATTAAGTGGTGCATGGATTGATTTTTGGAAGAAAACCAAGTTAGAGTTCTAGGGTTTCATTTCGGCCTAGCACTGTTCATGCTGAAGGAAATTATTTTAGCTTGATTTGATGATTCCAATGAGTTTAAAACATGTTTTTGTGTAGGGATATACTATTGGGAAGTGTTTAAAATCATTGGAATCAAAAATGAAATTTTTGGAAGCTTAAACCCCCCATTTGGCCAAGATGAATTCATGAGGAAGGAGTTTGATTTTTGAAAATATGATTTCATATTTGTATTCCTCATGAAAAACTGTGTAGAAATGAATCATAAGGTCATTGATTCTAAAGGAGGGATTATTTTGTTAAAAATCCGAGAAAAAGGGGGAAATTATTAAGTTAAAGACAAAGTGTTATGTTTAAGTAAATTGGCTATTAATGTGGCCTATGTTTATGCTTGATTTAGTAGGCTTCGTGAGGAGGAGTTAAGGTGGATCATTATCCCTTAAGGAGACCAAGTTAATCAAGTGATAAAAGGTAGCTTTGAATTATAATTTGATTGTATATCTTGCTTGTTTAATGTGATTTGTTATTTGCTTGGATTGAGAAACTTGTGTTGTGATTTTGGTTGGTTGGATAACCTTGGTTTATGCTTTGGCCAAATGCATTGAATTGTGTTAATGTGAAAGTATTGATGTTCCTCTCCTAGCATGAGACTAAGCATGATTTTATGTGATTTGTGGATGTCTTGAAGTTCTATAACATGTCACATTATAACTTGCTTGATTTGCATGATAATTGAAATTCAATTGCTACTGAGATTTCTATGAAATCTCATTCCTCCTATGTTAAATTATGCCTTAAATAGGAAATGGCTCATCTGTGGATCAAAGCAAGGAATTGGTGTCAGGATAGAAGAGCATTATGAAACTAATACCACTATGTTATGCCATGTAATGTTTAATGAACTTTATGCTAAGTTGTAGTGAATTATGGATAATGATATGATGTAAATTGTGTTGTTATGATGTGCCCTAATGTTAGAATATTGAATGGTATAATGTCAAAAGGATATGGAGGGAGGAAAAAGAGGAATAAATTCTAGAAAATAGAATTAGGGCATAAAAATATCCTAAAAGAGGCTAAACTTGTGACGCATAAAATAATAAGCAAATGATGAAATTTAGACCTCAGATTTTACAGGCAAATAGATATTATTTTTATCTTTAAATCAAGTAGTAAACCATCAAATTTGGATTTTTGCATTAAGAGTTTTGCCCTTCCAAAGTTGGGCTAAAATCCTAAAAATTCAAAAAT